GCAGGATGGAACACGGCCTGGAACATCCCTGGGGCCTGAGGGATCCCCTCCCCAGCCTCCTCAGGGTGGGGTGAGGAGCAGAACAGCATCAGCAGTCTCAGCAATAACGAAAACAGCCCCGGGTTAGGAACCCTGTTTTCAGCACAGATCCAAACCACAGCCCCATACCAGGTCCTAGGAAGAAAATTAACTCCACCCCACCAAAACCAGCACAAACCCCCAAAAGCCAGTGGTGAGAGCAGTGCTGCTGAGTGGTGCCACAGCAGTGGGCAGTGAGAACAACATTCCTACCACAGCTCCTACTGACCACGTTTGCATGCTGGACTAGAACAACCAACCAGGGGGAATCCTTTCCAGCTGGAAATCTCTGCTCCCATTTTCTGTTACAGTCTATGTACACAAAGCAGACTTGTCATTTGAATGGGAAAGCTTCATATTTACCTGGATCAGTGAGGGTTCCCAGCAGCACTAAACACAACAGCAATACTGACAGCTGAATTCCCCCAAATAACCTCAAATGATTTTTTTTAAACTATTTCTGTTCATTTTATTTAATACTTCTTAACATTTTTGTGGTCCATTACTGAAAGCAAATTCCACACCAAAAATCAACACATCAAACAGTAGATGTTTTCCACTCCTAAGAAAAACCCTGAGTTATATTCCTGGTTCACACTTTTGCTGCATCTTAGCCAGCTGTAACATCAGTATTTCAAAAGGCTCTTTGATTGGTCTTTAGTTTGAATGTTTGTAGGGATCTTGGCATGGATTACTCCTCCCAGAGCCTCTCTATCCAATTCTGGTGGATATTCTGTCCCACCCATGGGAGGTACCACGTCCTGCTCACAGTTTCCCATTTCTGCTCAGTCTCACAACCAGAGTTCCGGGATAAACTTGAGTACTTTTGTAACTTTAGGCTGTTACAAAATATCACATTAAATACTTTAAAGCAAACAACTGCCCACCTAAATGTTAATTAACAGGGGACATTTCCTGATGGTTAAGTACTGTCTTCTGCTAACAGGTGAGGTTTGAGGGACTGGAAAAAGATCCCGATACAAACAGCTTTAACTTAGGAAAAAAACCTCTCCCACCAAAAGTCTTAATGGGTCTCATAGAACACATTCCCATAATTCAGCTTTTGCTAAACTTTTCTTTTTTACCAGCCTGGGCTTTTGCATCTTTATTTGCATTAACTATGCAAAACATCGCTGTGGTTCGCAGCAATTTGAGACAGCAGAAGGGGAACTTCTGCCACTATTCAGACTTTTCTGAACACGTAACATCTTTTTTTCCCCCAGTGTACATTCTAGCAGTTTTGTCCCAAACACATTACCCCCACTGCATCCTTGCTCAGCAGGACACGTTCCTTTAAAGGAACAGGAGATTATCGGTTTATCCTGGAAACGTCTTTCCTGCTGCTGTGCTTAGTATCAGTGCTGGGATAAAACCCTCTTAAAATAGTTCCAGGGTCCAGGCAACAATCCACTGTATGCAGTAGTCTTTTGGATTTTACTGAGCAATGACTTTAGTGTTTTCAGGCCTTTGAAGGCCAGGACTGAACGGCAGATTTAGGCTAAATTATTTTTGAATTTTAATGTTACAGCAGCCTGTCCATAATGTCCTGTTGCAACATCAACAGCCAAACTGTTTGAAACGTTGTACTGCTGTGTGACTTCCTGAATAAAAAGGATTAGAACAACAGTCATTACTCATGTCTCCCTGCCCAGAATTGGGTTCCTCTTCCCTGGCCCAGGAACCCTGCGTGGGAACAGCAGAAGCACCTCTTGCAGAGGGACCAAGGCTTTACCCTCACTCCAAACCCCCCAGCCTTCGCAGCTTCCACAGATATATTTTTCTATTACCATTATTATCATTTTTTTAGGAATCCCACCAGATGGCAGCAGCATGTCTCCCCAGCAAAACTGGGAGCACTTCTCCAAAGGACAGCTCCTTATTCTTGGAACAGACACGAGACTTCCCAAACTCAGCCCTGCAGTCTGAAACACGGGATGCAGACAGAGCTTGTCACTGGCACTAACATCCAGATTTTTTCAGCACCTTAGGAACGTGTGTGCAGGGAATACTCCAAGAGCAAATTGATCTGGTTTTGGCGAATGAGGAACGTGACTTGTTTTGTGGCAATTTGCCAAACCAGAGTGTGGTGAGGCAAAGCTGCAGGACCTGGGGGAAGGTCCCTGCACACCTGTCCCTGCTTCAGCAACTGCCCCCCAGCCCAGCTCAGGACCCCGAGCTCAGCACTGCACTCACTGCACACCTTTGCACCACGTTACAGCACAGGGAGAGCTGAGAAGGACAAACACAGCGGGGCAAGGCCGATTGTTCAAGAGATTCTTTTCTACTTTGCCAGCTGGGGTTAGATTCACTTGAAAATCCACAGATGCCATGCCAGGGGCAGCTGATATGCAAGGAGATGGTGCCCAGCTGAGCGAGGACACGGCCTGTGCACAGACACAGCGACAGCAGCACCCGCCCGCAGGAGTTAATAATGAAAGTGCTGAAGCACCAGGCTTTGGCTCTTCACGAGTGAAAAACTCCAACAGCACATTAGCTCCCCTGAAACATCATCGAGTAGCAGACAAATGAACTAATGACAAATGCTAATTCAACTGCCAAGAGAAAATCTCCCTCAGTGAGGTAACGGGAAGCACAACAACACACACTGATCGCTCCTCTGACCTGGAACTGAGCTGCAGGGTCACCTGTGCCTTCCAGACACTGCAATGACACATCAGACCAGAAGACCAAAGACTTTTGCAAATACTCCAACTGTGGAATAACATCCATTTCCCTCAGAAGTACTGACAGGAACTTTTAAGTTGCCCATTAGCACCAATACACACTCAGAGATACCAACAAACAACAGAATCCTCATTCCAAAGTAGCTCAGGCCTTATGAATTCCGTGTCACACTTGGACCCAAGTGTACACTTCTCGTGTCCAAGTCACCTCAAACTACAAATACCCAAGTCAATGTTTACATTCAGCTGCATTATCTCACATAGCTAAAATTCAATTACATGGGCATTCTTCTGCATTTGGAACGAAACTAAAATTCAGTCTAATTATTGCTCACACACTCCTAAAGTCAGCCTGCACTCACTGGCAGAAGTTAACATGAAATGCCAAAAGCCAAGCAGTGACCACTGAATTTAAACACACGTGAGCAAAGAGGAACTCACTTGCACCAATGAGTGAGCCAGTGCAGCCCCAGCTCTGCCAGAGGGATCTGAGCTCCCAGCTTCTGCTTTTATTAAACACCCTCCCCCTTTGGGTTTTTTTTTTCCCAAGCTGTTGTTACTTTAAATTAAAGCTGTAGTTGCAGCTCTGCAGGCACAGTCCCCCAGGGGCAGTTCCTGTTGGGTGGCAGCAGGTGCCTGGCCAGGGGCTTGGGATGGCACCGTCCTACCTGGTGCCAGTCAGACCCTTCTCTCTACACTTCTTTTTTCCCCTCGGCACACTTAATGATATTATATTTAAATATGCAAGCGTGACCTTTCAATCTACTGAATATTACAGAAGCAGATCTCTCTCTGCACCTTATTTTTCAGCAAACAGAACTGAGAAAATACAGCCCTGGGAAACACAGAGGTAAACAGAACACTGGTACTAAACAGTAATAAAGTCTTATCTTACATAACAACCCAAATTTAAGCAAAGCCTCTAACAATTAAGTTAAAAAACTCCAGACTTTATAAAAAAAAAAATACAAACGGATGGAAATATTTTTAGGCAATTTTTTACAGCAGATTCCTTGTCAATTTTCATTCTTTTACATCCACTTTCTAAGGCTGTAGCACAGCCAGGGCACGGCAGCACCGACTGCACAACAGCTCCCCTCCGACCGGGAGCACCCGGTTCAGATGAACTGCCCAGCTCCGAGGGGAGGGACACGAGCCCAGCCCCAGCGCTGACCTGCAGCTCCTGCAGCCTCCCCGGAGAGCCCCACCTCAGTGCCACGCTGGGCAGGCTGTGTGTGGGCAGCTGGCAGGGCTGTGCCATGGGGACCCGGGGTTTGCTCTCCCGAGGCCTGTCCTGCTGAGCCCTGCACAGCCCTGCACAGCCCGGCCTGGCCGAGGAGAGGCTGCCCCGGTGCAGCTGCAGCACAGGCAGTGCCCGCAGCCCAACTCCCGGGGCACGGCGGGGGCTCAGCACCGCGGGCACCACACACACAGCTGCAAACTTCGCAGTCGTGCTGCAGGAAGCGCAGGGCGCCTGCTCTCCAGAACACCCCCGTGCCTTCGTGCTGCCAAGGACAGCTCAGAGCACGGCCAGCTGACAAACAGCTAGAAACAAAACCACACATCTGTAAAAGACTCCTGCCAGCTTTGTGTCGGTGCTCCTGAAGGGCAGTAATTACATACATGGCACTAAGGTGGTCACAAAACGCGGGAGAAGGAATTCCACTCTGCTGACAGACTCCTCTGAATCGCAGCTGGGGGATAAAAGGGCCGGAGGCAGCGCTCCAGCGAGGCAGGAAATCCCATTTCCATTTTTGAGAGGGGAGCAAAGTTCAGCTGTGCTGTTTCTGGTAGCACCCAGCACCACCGCGGGTCAAACCACCGCCGAGACAAAGATCTTGACAGGTGACTGCACAAGGAAGACATTTTCATACGCTTTTCATTTCTGACTCTTAAGTCAGGTCAAAATGAATATTCTGATACTCAGCTGTTAACCTGAAATTTTAGGCAGCACGGCTTAGCTGCACAGATGCACGCTCTGATTAAAGGTACAGAGAGGGCATAAACAAGCTGCTTTGTCTCAGAGGAGAACAGCGGGGTGGGCTGTTGGTCAGAAGTGGCTCCTCACCACTCCGAGCCTCCTTCTGCGAACACAAACAGGCAAAGCAACTTTCTAAGAACGGAGAAGAAGTGGTAAGCAGCTTTCTGGTATTCTGACTCCAGTGACAGGACCAGGGATGAGTTATGACCAGGTAAAGAACGACAAGGAGGAATCGGTCCGTTCTTGCCTCTACTCACCAGACAACACCAAAGGCTCCGTATCCGATGGGTCTGTCCGGCTCCACGTCCAGCTGCTGCTGAGGGTGCTGTGAGTGCTGATGATGGTGCGCTTTGACCGCAGCGGCTGCTGCAGCCTGTACCTGAGCTGGGGCTGCGGCGGCCGGGCCGGGGGCCTGGCCCGGGGCCGGCGATGGGAAGTAGGGCTGCTGCTGGCCCGGGTTGAGCATGGCGGCGGCGGCGGCGGCGGCGGCGGCGGCAGAGGAGGCATGCTGCTGCTGCACCGGGTGCACGGCCGAGCCCGCGTGCAGGTGGTGCTGCGCGTGGTGGTGGTGGTGCAGGTGAGGAGGAGGGAGGTGAGGAAGGTGGTGGTGGTGGTGGTGGTGGTGACCCGCTGCTGCCGCAGACGTACCGCCATTGTAAGCCGCCATCATTTTTGCGTTGGCTGTTGTGCCACAAAGAGACATTCAACAAAAAAGAAAAATGCCCTTTGATTGGATGACAACTGGGTCAAGCTGTCGTTTGGCCATAAAAATTAAAATCTGCTACACTTTAAAAGTTGGGTTTCATCGTACACGGCCCACCTTTAAAAACATGGAGCTCCACTGGCCTTATCTCCTGGCGAAGCCAAACCACTCGGGGAGTCTCTTCATGTGTGCGAGCGCCAACCCCTGCCCCAGCGTCCAGCCGGGCTTGGCTACTCCAACTCCATCCTTGGGCAGCTGCCTTGGGGCCGGCCTGGGCTTTCTCCTTCACTTTGGGTTTTTTTGTCGTTTTTCTTGTTATAGAAATTAAACACCGTGATCAATCCCCCTTCCCTCCGGAGGGAGGGCTCGGAGCCTCTGCCCTGAACACCCCGCGAGGGCCGGCCAGCCTAGCCCTGCCATTCCCACACCCTCTCCATGGATCCCCCGAACCTCCCTGAGCCCGGCCACCTCCTACATCGCTCCCTCCTTCCAGGCACCTGCTCCCTCACGGCACCAACAACTCGGAAGTTTGTAACTTTTCCTTGAAGGCCTGAAACACACACAAGGACCAAAAGAAAGTGAAGGGGGGCGGCGGGGCGAGGAGAGGGGGGCGAAAAGAAGATAAAAACAGAGGGAGGAAGGGAAGGGCCGGGGCAGGACAGGAACCGCGGCGGGGTGGGAGAGGGGGCGAGGGAGGGGGGGAAAGCGGCAAATGAATGACGGGGCGGCCGGGGCCGCGGAGGGGGCGCGGGGAAGGACGCGGCGGCCCCTGACAGCGCGGGCCGCGGCGGGGCGGGGCCGGGGGGGTGGGTCGGGGGCGGAGGGCAGGGGGCCCGCGGCCGGGGCTGCGGGGGCGCGGGGGGCGGCGGTGCCCCCGCGCGGCCCCGGCCCCGCTCTCACCTGGTCCCGCCGCCCGCGCCGCGCCGCGGGCACGCGCAACCCCCCCGCGGGGCGCGCGCCCGACGCCGCCCGCAGCCAATCGCGCCCGGCCCGCCGGGCTGCGCGAGAGCCGCCCCCGACCAATCGGCGCGCGGCGCCCGGCGCGCCCCGCCCCCCGCGCGCGGCCGTGCGGAGCCCCCCCCCGCCCCCGGCGCGGCCCCGCCCCCGTGACCCCGCCGGCCAATCAGCGCGCGCCGCCGCGCCCGGAGCCGCCGAGACCCCGCGAGATTCCCTCACCTCACACAACCCTCGCCCCGGGCGGCCCCGCCCCCGCGCCCTCCTGCCAATCACGGGGGCCCGCCGGCCAATCGGCGCTGCTCCCGAGCGCAGTCCCGCCCCCGGCACCCGCCGCTCGCCCAATCGCGACCGCCCGTCCGATCCGATGAGCCAATGGAGAGAAACGAGAGCCCGAAAAGGGGTTACTGGGCCAATGGCACCGGGAGGCGAGGCGGCCGCATGACTGACAGCTCCCCTCGCCAGTGGCCGGCGCCGATGGGCGGCGAAGGAGCCGCCGCTCCACCAATCGCAGAACGCGGCGCCAGGGGACGGACGCGGAAGTGGCCGGTGCGCCCGCCCACAGGCGGCAGACGACCAATAGGCGGCGGGGCTCCGCTGACGGGCGGCGGGCGGGGCCAATGGCGGCGCGGGGCGGGGTGAGGTGAGGACGCGGCGCGCGCGGGGCCGCTGTGGGCGCTGTGGGGGCGGCGGGGCGGGGGCCGCGCTGAGGGGGCAGCGCCGGGGTGGGGCCGTCCTTCGCCTCCGGGGGCTCGCCCGCCGGCGCCTCCCTCCCTGCCCGCTCTCCCCACGCCCGATGCGCGCTGACCCCGCTCCCTGGAGCCCGGGGGCGGCCGGCGGGGGGTGTGGAGGTTGCTGAGGGGGTTTGTTCCAGGGCTCAGGGGTCTTTTCTCAAGTCTCTCAGAGCTGCAGAGCGGGGCTGCAGCGGGGCCCGGGGCTGTGGCACCGGGTCTCACCAAGGCAAATCCCCCGCTCACGGCGGGTTCCAGCCGTTCCCAGCAGTGTCTTCCCGGCCCCGCAGCGTGCCCAGGACACGCTCAGGGGGCCCCGTGCGAGGTACGTGTGAACCAGCACCAAAACACCCTCTGTGCGTTGTTTCGGTTCACTCACGCCACGAACCCGCCGGCCTGGGGAACGCGGTGTCCTTGTGTGAGGCGTCAGCGTTCCCTCCGGCACAGGGCGAGGGAACACCCCGCAGTCCGAACACTTTCCGTTTTTCGCATGTGAATATTGATCATACCTGATGAATAGTTTTGCCTCAGAAAACCCCCTGCTTATCAGAGCCTTGCCCGTGGGGCAGAGTTAAGTTACCTGTGGCGGTGACAAGGAGGTTCCCTCGGGTGATGGAACGCGGGGAGCGGTTCCGGAGGAGGGGAGGGACCGGCAGGGAACCTGCCCCTGCCCCTGCCGGGGCGAGGGAAGGAGCCCGCGGAGCTGGGACGGGCCGGCTGCGCTGCTGGGCTGTGCCAGCACACCCCCGGTGCTGCAGCATCGGCCCCTGCCGCCCACCCTCGCTGTCTCTGGGAGCTGGACATCGGCGGGCAGAGCGTAAATGCGACAGCCTGTTGCAGTTCCTGAAACTCGAGTGCAAAACCTTTGTAAGAATGGGTTTGGGTCCTTTTTGCCTGCTCTTTAACAATGTGAACAAGAAAAGACTTGCAGGACTGAAGATGGGTTTCTTTGTTAAGGCTGTTCCTGCTGCATTTTGAAATGTTGTTACTTGTATTCCAGCATGATAGCAGAGATTTTTTGCCATCATGTCTCTAAAAACAGAGATTTTACTTAAAAAAAAAAAAAAAGAAAGGTAAAGCAGGCAAGACTAGGCTTGGTTTACAGGCATTTTCTAGTATTACCTATTGGAAGAAACAGAATACTTCTTTAGAAGTTGTATTTGTAGCTGTCTGGTTGACGTTTTCATTGGAGTTGATAACAGGCTGGTAATGTGGGTATGGATATGGAGAGACCAAGGGTTTTCCTGGTCTCTGGGGAGGTGTGGGTGGGAGACTGAAGAAGGAAGCAGGGACCAAAGGCCATAGGGCTGTGTTGGCAGGACTGGAAGGCTTTTAAAGCTCTCCCACACCTTTTCATTATGGACCTTTTTCTTTCTCTGCTATTGTAATACCTTTCCAAGTAGTAAAATGGAGCAAAGGCCTAATAATCCTTGTGTGGGAACTTGGATTCTTGGTGTACCTGCAGATCATTGTCTCAGTGCCATTATTCAAGTCCAAATACAGTGTCATCTTAAATATTTGTTCAGTTAGGTACTTTATTGGGTCAGTAAGTGCCCTAGCAGTACCCTGAGGTGTGGTCAGACACTGCCATGTCGCTGGGTTTTCAGCAGTGAGCAGAAGAGCAGGGTTGCAGTCCTGGCACTGGCACCTGTTTTCCCCACACTCCAAACCATGCCTTCCAGCTTCCTTCTGGAAAGTGTGGGTGAAATCTGGGGCCCACTTTATTAATTTGGGTTGGATTAAATGCTACAGCCATATTCCCCATGTTTTCTTTGCCCCTCAGAGAGGTGAGAGGCAGCAGGAGGACTGTGCTGTCTCGGGCTCCATGTGGAGCTCTGTCAGGTGCCAGCGTTGGAGTGACCCACCCTGACGAGTGTATCTTCCTGCCACACTGGGGCCATAAACACTTTTAATTGTTGTCCCTGGCCTCTACCAAGCTGTGGAGCTTAAGACTGTCAGTTCAGCTGCTTTTTAGGCTCTTCATGCTCTGAAATTTAAGGAGGAGGAGATCCAGTTGATTCGTACGGAGGTATGTGTAAGGAAAAAGCTTTTGAAAGGATATTAAGGAAACACAGAACTTGCTGGCAAAGTGCTCACCTGATAGACCGTTTGTTTCCTCAGTGCAGGAACGTGTTCCCTGTGAGTGCTGGGAATCACTCCCGCTTAGAGCAGAGGGAATTAACGGTGTAGTGGTGTAAGTCAGGCCTTCCTCGTCACCTCCTGCCCCTGAAGGCTGCTGAGGGGGCTCAGCACTGAGCTGGCTCCTGGAACTTGGAGCAGGAGTGTTCTGGGAGTAGTTCAGTGAGCCTGAGCTGCTTGATGGGCGAGTTGGCAAAATCCACCCATGGTAATTGGAACTGGGCAGGCAGAAACACTGCACGAGGTCCTGCCAAAGCCTGGTTTGAGGGCAGCTCATTTGTCATCCCCAGTGAGGCCTGGAGATACAGGATTGGTGGCTGCTGCTGCTGAAACATGACAGATCAATTCTAATCTCTTGCTGCTGAAGACAGTTATTCATGGGGACATGCATCTGTCTCTTAGCATTGTGCTCACAGTAAGTGCTGTAACCAGTACAAGTCTGCTGTCTGAGAGGGAATGCTGCTATGGTTGGGGTTGTCTGTGCTAAACTCAGGTAAAAATTATATAGAAAAGTCAATACTGTGCATGAGAAACACAGGGCACAGACTTGTTCATTTTCAAAAATCCACGGCATCAAGTGTAGTCTTTTCTGACTCTTGAGAGATTTGTTTTCCCCTTGGATTTGACACTTGCTTTGCAGGGATATAATCTTTTTGACAGCTCTCTGTGCACGGGGATGGAGGACAGTTCGTAATCAGCCAGTCCTGTTTCTGGTCCTTAGCAGTGTTGTAACCTTAAAATTCTCCACGAAAGATTGTATTATCTTGCACAGTATAAAATGTAATGGTTCAGTTCCAGACATACCTTGTGGGCTTTTTTCCCCTTGTCACACACAAACTAGCTGTGAAAACAGAACTTGGAATATTAGAATAAGTCTTTTGATTGTGAGTTGTGTATGAATGTCCTTCAGCATTTAGGCATGTAGGCTTTTTGTGATCCTTTAATGCAGAAAAAGTTACATCAAGTGGAACAAAGCATAATAAAAGGCATGGATTTGTCTCTGATCCAAAAAGGGGGTGCTCTGAGCTGCACTATTGATAATTTATCATGTGGGTGTTTGACAAGCCCACACATACCCTGATATACCGCTCTGCAGATACAGTCCTCAGTGTTCTGTAACACCCTGGAAATATTTAATTCATAAATCCTAATGCTGAAGCCCTTAAGGTGTCATAAGCATGGTGCTGATGGCTGTGAATCTGAGGGAGTTTGGTTAGTCAGATAAATACCATGCTCTAAATAAACTGTGGTCCTAATGTGCAGCAGAATAAACATATACACAAAATATCATGGGATTAAAATTCTTGTTGGAGTATGTTATTCCTTTTCTTTGCAAAGAATAATTTCCCAGAGTTTTTGTCTTTAAAGCCTTTTCTCTATGAAACTGGAAAAGAATAAATTACTCCATTAATAAATGCAGTGAGGAGCAGGGGAAAGAATATTTTCATTTAACTTTGGTTATTTATAAAGGTTTCCGTCTTAATGCTTGCAAGGACGGCAGTATGTCTTCATCTAGGAAGAGGGCAAGGATCTGCTCATCTTGTGGAATGAGGGATAAATCCCTGCCCTCTCAGGGCAATGTTTTAATAAGATAGAGGGACAAAAATCCAGTAGTCCAACCAAGCAGGTGGCCTAGTGTAAGGTTGTTGGTCAGGCCAAAAGGCACGTTGGCCAAGAGAGCCTTTAAGCAGCAGTGTGGGACTGTGGCCCTGCCTTGGACAGGGTCAGAGGGTGGAATGGTGCTCCTGCAGCAGGGCAGCACTGCTGGGATGGGGCAGGGCTGCTGTGAGTGACAGGCGGTGTCAGGGACGATCGGGCATCTCTCTGAGGCTGAACATCAGACTCTACAGGCACTTATGTTCCTTCCCTGCCCTGTCAGCCCTCCGTGGCTCTCCAGGGCAGTGGCTGTGGTGGCTGTGGTGGCTGACAGCCCTGCCCCGGGTCTGTCCAGTGTGCTGCACAGACACGTGTGACGGTCGGGATTGGCACTGCGCCCTGACATCGGCCCCGGCACTGTCAGCTCCCAGGCATGAACTCCTGCTCTGCACAGCTTTGTAGCCAGAAGTCTTTTCTTTTGGGAGTCCTGACTGACTAGTGGATTCTTTGCTCCCTGCAGCACTTACACATGAGCTTGGGAGTGCTCAGGTGCTTACAGTTGGTTTGTAATAATTAGTCATTTAAAGACTTCAGCCGGATTGTTTAGTCCTTTCTGTCTCGTTTTCCTCCTTGCTGCTAAACACCAGTTGCAGGAGACAGAGGGGAAGTCTTTATCCCCCACTGCTTTCTGGAGAAAGTGACAGTTCTGCAGTCCTCTCTGTTCTGTATTTCTTTGCACCAGAAATGACCCTGCTGCTCTTTGTCACCAGTGTTTCCTTTTATCCCTCTCCTGGCAGCTGCTCTTGCTTCATTCTGATGTTGGAACAGCAAATGAATTCCCTCTGAAGCAAATGTCATGCCAGTAAAGATGTTGAAGCAGCAAGAAAATCATCTCTCTCTCTGAAGACTGAATTGGAGACCTTTGTGAATGAGATGTTCTTAAAATAGCTCTGCAGTGTGTTATCTTCCCTAGAAGGTGGAGAATTGAAAACACCACCACGAGCCACTTGTCCTTGTGCGAGCAGCATCCCTAAATGATGGGTTTAGGAGTGGGGAGAGGATACTTCCTTTTCCTCCTCTCCAAAAAGTGCTGCATGATTTTAATCTGTGTATGACAGTACATTTATGTATTTTCCAAGAGTTGCATCACTGTTTGCTGCTTGTTTAAACATGTCACGTTTGGAGTGACCTTGTTCTTCTCCAAGATCCACTGTTTCTGGATAAACTAGTAGCTAAAAGAAATGCCAAGCCACAAGATGAGTAGAGATGCTCTGAATGACCCTGGCTGAGGATCTGGGCAGCCTCTATGGAGAGCAGAGATTGCCAGCTGGTGGGATGTGGCACACCTGGATACCAGACCCCTCTGGCACATGGCTGCTTGTGTGATGGGAGAGCCAAATGGTCCCAGCCCTGTGCAGTCTGTGCCAGGCTGGGGGCATTCTCTGGGTGCTTCAGTCACTTGTTTTGTGCAGCATACCTGTAACATTAGTGGGTGGCTTGATGTGCACAGAGTGCACGTGCACAGTTATTGGTTTATTGTGTTCTGAAGTGTGGGTGTCACGTGGGGCACGGAGATAAAGGTCAGAGGGGTTCTCAGGGAGGACAAATCTCTTGACAGCAATCACAGAGTTGACACCTGTCTTGGGCTGGGTGAGCACATTGGCTTAACTCAGCATCAAGTTCACCTGTCAGGCAGTTTGGTTCCTGTCTTAGTTCAAATCTACTTGCCAAGAAAGAGCAGGTTTGGAAATCTCCCTTTCTGCGTCCCCTGGGAGCCTCTGGCTCAGGTGGTGGGAGCTCTGTCTCTGTGGTCACACAGACAGCAGGCATTGTGTCATCTGTGGACAGTTTGGTCAGTTGGAGAGCTCTTGCTGAGATTTTTCTCCCCTCGGCTAGTCTGGGGTGTTTGATTTCCTGACAGCCTCGGGAGAGCCCCCGCTAGCCTGGGGGCCCAGCAGGAGCAGGGGCTGTGTGAGCCATTGGGCTGGGACATCCTTGTCTCCCAGGAGTTTGTTCTGGAGTCCCACAGCTTCACAGCGTT